GCAGTGGCACAAAGGTCAGCTCTCAGCACTCACAGTTTTCCAATTCCTCATCCTTTTCAATTCCCACTGTGCAGATCAGCAGATAGGGATTTCGTTTGAAGGCGGCAAAGGGCAACGTAGGAGACGGTAGGCAAAAATCTTGTGAATTCCTATTAAACAAACGGCTGTCCAGCCGGTGAGAAGTCCCTTTTGTCCAATTCTAACGATGTTTCTGTAACTTTTAGCACCTATTCAGTGAGTACCACTGCTTTGTCAGGCAGGGATCTCAGTGCCCAAATCTCTGTACGCTGGGAGACAGGTTGTCCTTCGCTAATACAAGTGTGGGTTCTGACAACTAAAGTCACACTGGAGTGATGTTTCTTGTAAGAGAATGGAGACACCAAATCAATTCCCCCTGTGACATAACGGGACACCGAACTGTAGCGTTGGGGTCATTTTGCTCAACTCCTTTAATTCATAAGTTTAATTAAGTTGAGACCTAGAAGTGCCTAGCCCAAGTTTATACAGGGGGTTAACAGCTAAGCATGCTCCAGAACTACTTTTCTACAGACGGATTCTACTTTGGTAAATTTTGTCTACTACCAGGTAGAAAACTGGAATTCCTTTCCATTCCCTACAGTGCTTTTGCCAGAGCAAGTCTTAGAAAAAAGGGAAAGTATGGCGATAGATAGGAACTTGATAACCCAATACTCCCTGACTAGAGATTGAATTTATTGACTTTTTAACATTTTTACATTTTAATTTGCTATAGGGTCTGCGTGCTTGCTGGAGAGAGACAAAGTGAGAAAGCATCCCCTGGGAGAATAGCCATGCAATCTCTTCTCCCTCATTCTCCTCTTGGTATTTTGGGCATGCACACACATGTGCTGGCATGTTTTTCAAGCTGCTGGGTCCAGGACTTGAACCATATAGTCAGCCATGTGGAATCCAGCTGCCTCAATCAACATGCCACCAGTGACCCCATTCAAATACTTTGAAAAGTCATATGTGTTAACTGGTTGGAAGAATTTTGAAAAAGTAGACATTGATATTTTATTTCTTAATAAGAAGACAAGACTGTACAATTTGCTAAATACAAGTGGACATTTGACTAGTCTTGAGATGCAGTTCCAGAAAGAAGTTGTCTGGTAGGAGAAGCTGGCTTAGAATTTGCAGAATTTCTCTTATAATTGTGATGACTGGAAACAAACAGGAAAATAGAACAAATAAGTGACTGTTCCCCTGGTCCCTCTGCTCAGTTCACCCAGGAATTTAATTCTGTCTGATCTGGCAGGCACCGGAAGGAGCCAGGTGCAGGGAAGGCTGACATCTCCAGAGTGGCCTTTCAGGAACACCGATGATGCTGTCTATGGAAATCCACCTCGAAACAGCTCTGAAGCCCGGGAGTTTGTTTAGAATCTCACTGGCCTTGATAGATTTCCCCTCCTCTGACAGTTCACGGCAACGGGAGTAGTATAAAGAATTCAGTGATTCATTCCAAGCCTCCCGTGGGTTCCCCCCGAGTCTCCAGCTCTGATCCACTTCTGGGGCTGTACTCCAACCGCCCCATCTGTGATGAGGTCATTTTGTTGGGGCACACGGAGGATTCCAGGGGGAATGCGCATCATATACTGTGGCTATTCACAGCATTCATTCCTCCTGGCTGCTCACGGAAACAATGACCCTTCTCAGCATTACATGTGCTCACTGCAGACAGGGGCTAAATGCCTTTCAGTGGACCCCCTGAGGCACACAATACATTTATTATAATGTCCTGGCCCTAAAGAAGGGCCTGGGAACAGAACTGAGTGGCCTCTAATTAAATAACTTTAATAACAAATACACATACCTCCTAGGTATTAAAAATAAGTGAAAAGAAACCCTTCTTCTCACTCTCTGCCCTCCTCCCCTTCATCCTTCCCTTTAACAAATAACAAAAACCAGGAGTTCTGTTTTTCTAAAAAAACAATTGCAAAGGATGTCTGACTAGTTGGAAAAGGGAAATTAAATTACCTGAGAACATTCTTTCCATGTCAAAAAACTAAAAAAAAAAAAAAAAAAAAAGAGGCTTCTGCTTACTCAGGTAGTTGGGGTTGGGAAGGATGTGTTGAAAGGCTGTTCCTTTAATCGCTCTCGGTTTGACTTCCAAAGCTTTCTAGAGCAGTGGTCTGCTAGCAGAGAGGCACCCCTGGGGAACCCCTTAGTTATGCTCCCTCTTGGATGGGCAAGCCCTCCGATTGCTGCTGTGTCCAGGAAGTAGTAGTTAGACATGTCCTCCCAGCAGTGTCCTGTGTCCCTGGTGCCCATACCTCTGGGTGTCTGAATGTGCACACATAGGCTTTTTTATTTTTAAGTAGAGATTTTTGCTATAGGGTGTGTGTGTGTGCTGGAGAGACAGAGACAGACGTGAGAAATCACCCCCTCCCCCTTTGGGGGGATGGCCATACTGCAATTCGTTCTCTGTTGGGATTTTGGGTATGCACGCACACATGACTGGCATGAGTTTCAAGCCATGGCCTGGGAATGGAACTACAGTCCGCAATGTGGGAGTCTAGCGAGGCTTCCAGGGGGTGTGGCCATTCCGCAATCCCTTCTCCTCCATTCTCCTCCCGGGATCTTGGGCACGCACAAGCTCCTCGCCTAAGGCTCAAGACATGATCTGGGAATGGAACGACGGTTGCAATGTGGGGATCTAGCGAGGTAACCGCTACGCCATCTGCTGGTTCCAAGCGTGGCGGATTTTCTTTCTTTCTTTTTTCTTTTTCTTTCTTTCTTTCTTTCTTTCTTTCTTTCTTTCTTTCTTTCTTTCTTTCTTTCTTTCTTTCTTTCTTTCTTTTTCTTTTTTTCTTTCTTCTTTCTTTCTTTCTTTCTTCTTTCTTTCTTTCTTTCTTTCTTTCTTTCTTTCTTTCTTTCTTTCTTTCTTCTTTCTTTCTTTCTTTCTTCTTTCTTCTTCCTTCCTTTTTTCTTTCCTTTTTCTTTCTTCTTTCTTTCTCTTTCTTTCTTTCTTCTTCTTTTGAGAGGTTTTTTGCTACAGGACATGTGTGCTCGCCAGACAGAGAGCGACAGAGAGACAGAAAGCGAGAAATCACCCCCCAGGGGGATGGTCACACCCCAATCCCTTCTCCTCCATTCTCCTCTCGGGATCTTGGGCACGCACGCATATGCGCCCGGCGTGAGTTTAAAGCCAACGAGTCCAGGACTTGAACCGCGTTCGACTACATGGGAGTCCAACGACATAGCCATTACACTAACTGCTGGTCCCTGTGATGGATTTTCTTAAACTTCCTCAGCTTCAGCCTCCCAGGAGGGAACCCAGGCACCTGGCTCTTTTTCAGGTGGGGGTCTCATGTTGTTCAGGCCAGCCTGGAGCTTGGGATTCTCCTCCCATGGCCTCCCCACGTCGCTGGGACTACAGGTGAAGACGCCGCACTCGGACTTCATTTTGGACTGAGAATTGAGTCTAGGCTTCCGCTGTGGCTCCAACCGGCGGAGCCCAGGATCTTTGCAGTGCACCATCCCCGGTGGGCCACCCCAGTTTCTTTATTTGTAAAATGGGGATGTTCATAGTTCAATGAGTAGTCAGTCAAAAGTCTAGAATCAGGGATCGTGGGAAAGTTATTCACATTGAGTCTCACAGTCTTTACCTGTAAAATAAGGTTAAAAAATACCTGGCTTACCTGCATTACTTTGAGGACTAAATGAAATAATGTTTGACATCACTTAGCATATACCCGATGGGCAGTAAATAATCAATAAACACTATCAGCTGTTATTATTACAATTAACAGAATTATATTTTTAAAAATAATTATTTAATTTTATTTATTATTATATTTAATTTGCTATAGGCACATGTGCTCGACAGAGACAGAGAGAGAGAGAGAGAGGGAAAGCAAGCTACCAGGTTTGGGACTTGAACCATGGTTAGCCATGTGGGAGTTCAGTGCCTTAACCACCATGTTACTTGCTGGCCCCAGAATTACATTTTAAAAGGAACTGATTGGATTAAAACTGTTCGTATCATTGGATGATTCAATACACAGAGAAACCATTTGGCTAGAAAAACAAGAAAGCCATGCAAACTCATTGGGTAATATCTCACTGGAAATATGCTTGGGTTTACTTCTTTGATAGTTAATAGTAGAGAGATGGGGTGGTAGAATAATATGGATGTTATCTTTTCCTCTGGCCTATAATGAATTAAATACAATTATGGACCTGTATAATTTCAGTATATATGGATACTAAGGTAACATAATACATCAAGTTTTCCAGCTCATATTAAAAATGTACATACACATTGGTGCACCCAGTATATTCTGGTGAAGAGGAGACTTTTATTATATGATTGGGGACTGATTTCTGCTGTAGCATTTGATTTTAACAAAGCGACATTGAGCCTATTGATAAAGATCAGCCCAAGAGTGACAGGGAACAAGGTACACGTTGAAAGACTAAATAATGAGGCTTGAAAGGAAAGTTTGTCTTTATTTTTTTTTTATTACAGCTAAAGAAATCTCCAATCACCATTCAGTTTAAACATATTGCTTTTTGCTTTAAGTAATTTTACAGGACTATTTTCAATAAATAATTTTTTATAAGTATTTGATATTTTGAGCATTACATTTTGAAGATCAGAATGGAGTACCGTGAAACTTCTGAGAAGAGCTAGATGAATAAGAAACAGGAAACTTGAAACAAGACATCCTTACGCTTCCATTCTGGGCAGCAGGAAGAACAGGACATTTACTCTTTATTATTTAAAGAGCCTTTAAATAAGAGTCACATGGGAAGCAAGCATGCCAAAGATCTTTTGATTCCTTTTGGCTTTGGCCAAGAAAACGGAGTTATTGAGAAAATCCAGCCTTTAAAAAAATACTGCTGCCAAAAGGACTTTTCAGTGGGTTAAATACTTTAAAATCATTGTTTGCTGGGCAACACAGAGTGGGGAGAAAATACAAATAATTATTGGACAGCAGCACGTTGGGTGGGGTTTGCACAGACTTGCATTTCAGTATCAGAACGTGGCATCAAAGGGTCCGTTTGCTGGGTGGCTATTCTTATCTTAGGCGACCAGATGATGTGTTAAGGCAAAAGCAAGGTATTCTTTTTCCCTGGAGTTTTGGGAACCAATCAAGTACTGTAGTTCTCAAGCCACCTTCCTTTAACCTCGATTTTTTATAAAAGCGAGGTCAACTTACTTCCTCTAAGACTTTAAAACCCATCAATGGTTGTTGATTTCCATGTACAAGTCTCTGGCTGCTTCTGAATTCTGATTACTGAGCAAGTGTGAAAAGATTCAGGAATGCCAGGACTACCCAGCCATTGCACACGTTCACTCTGTAGGTATCTTCTTCAGAATATCCTTTATCCCTCTCTTATCTGAATCTTGGTGTCATTAGGATGATGAAGGCACTTCTTAAACCGTTGACAGCATGGTGGAGGTGAAGATCTGCTGTAAAATCTGAGGGATGTCCTTGGTATTCATGGCAATGAAAGACCGGCCAGCTGGTAAAGTTCTCTGAAGCCTGCCAGGAAGGAAAAAGGAAAGAAAATTACCATTGCAAACTGGAGCTCCCCTTCTACCTCCTACCCTGGCGAACCACCATATCCCAGTGGCTTCTTAGGAAAGGAAGCTTCTACTTTCTATTACCTCGCTGGCTGCCTGCAGTTGACTTGGCTGTTACTAAGCAATGAAAGGCTTGGAAGAGCAATGGGGAGACACAGTGAAAGCAGTGGACTGCAACGAAGGCCTTTTCAGTGAGAAAATCAGCAAATTTGAAAAGAAAAAAAAATTTCTTTTCATTACTGTCGTTTCCTGGTTATTCTATGTTCCCTTGGTAGAAGGGAACATAGGGATGAGCTCACCTGGGACCAGCATGGTCCAGTATGGGTCCAGTATGCTGGTCTCACACTGTTACTTCTAAGTGCTTTTCCTTCCTATTTTTTAGGCCTCTAAAAATACTGCCCAGCCAGCCCTGGGTGATTCTCTCTCTTTTGCTCCACATCATGCAACATGAAATGCAACCTAGATTCTTGAATTGCTGCTTCCATGACACTGAGCTTACACAGGTTTATGACCATTTTTAAAAACTACCAGTTTATCATTTGGAACAAAAGATTACTTTTGAAGGAATAAAAACTGCTAGATGCAATTCTATTCAATAGAATGCCTCCTTTCCCTGTGCCAACAAAATTTGGTTTTGGAATGACATTTAATAAAAGTCGACCATCCTGTGCATGGTATCATGCATTTGGCATGCCTGGTAGACCAGCTAATTCTGCAACGTATCTTTTGCCAGTAGATGTTGGACCATTTCCCTAGGAAACCACAAGGGTATTATTGTGCTTTCTCAAGTATTCAAACAGGATCTGTTCACTAGAAAGACAAAACAGCCATTTCAGCTCAACCAGTGTTTGTTGGGCTTACTGTCTGCCTAAGTCTGGGCTGATGCTGAGGAAAATCTGGGCAGAAAAGGAATGGTTTGCATTCAAGGACATAAAGTTAGATGTAGAAGGCTAACACATGAAACTAAGAAAAATACAGTCAGTGTAACTATAATTATAAAAGTCTGTTCCCAACCTTACTCTGCAAACCTGTAGCAAGGTGAAAGGAATAGAAAGAGAAAAAGATGCTAGCATTTTTGGATGCTGAAACATTTCCTAGTCTGAATAGGACCCTATACCACAGAGAATGATAGGAAGAAGAGGTGAAATAACAAAAAGTAGGCCCATTGTGCTTTAGGGAGGGATTAAAAAATTTTTTTTTGAGATATACTTTCATTTCTTTTCTTTTTTGAGTTTCCTAGCAGGCATGTATGCTTGCTGGAGAGAAACAGAGTGAAGAGAGATGGAAAGTGAGACCACACCTCCCCCATATGGGATGGTCACACCACAATCCCTTCTCCTCCATTTCTCCCTCCTTTTGGGCTCTTTGGAATGTACATCCATGTACCCAGCATGTTTCTCAAGGCTGGGCCTGGGACTCAAACCTTACAGTTCGGCCGATGTGTGAGCCAGCTGTCTTAACCACCACAGAAAGCATGGCTGACTCATAATTTCACTTTATAGGCACCAAAACCATGAACTCTGTTTGTAACTCAAAAAGCTAAATGTTAGTGTATTCAAGTTATAAAAATCTCTCCTTTCTGATCATTCCTGATGTTATTTATTGTCTGACAGTAACTATCTCTACTGAATATCCAGTAGAGTCAATGTAGCAGTTATACAAATTGCCAACTGTTTCATCTGCTCCTAGTAAGAAGAGATGTGTAGTGTGTGTGTGTGTGTGTGTGTGTGTGTGTGTGTGTATACAGGCATGCACAATGTAGACTTATATATGGTGTGTGTATCTTTTCTATCGGGAACTTATCTTTGGGAATGTATATATACATATGAGAGGTTTTAAAAAAGAAAATGCATATTATGGATAAAATATGCATAGATTTAAAAACATTTTCACTAAAATAGCTTTGTACTTTAGTTCCATTTTCAATGAGCTTTCTTAAGCCCCCTTATCTATACATAATACATATACACATTTACACATAGAGAGTCACGTACCATATAACTATGTTTTGGTCAATGACAACCATGTATACGACTAAGGTCCCCTAAAATTATAATTGGTTATATCATATAGTTCAGGTGTGCGGTAGGCTATACCATCTAGAGTTGTGTAAGTGCACTCTATGACGTTTGTACAATGGCAAAACTGTATAAGGAAATGTCTCAGAATGTATCTCTGTCGTTAAGAGATGAATGACTATATACATGTATAGGTACATATGCATTATATACCTATATGTCTGCTTATATGTATATCTGCATATCATGTATATAGACATGCATACACACATACACATTATCTCTTTTGCTAAAAAAAATGTTGATGTTAACTATCTTGAATATAATTTGAACACAAATTGTTTAGAATGAACTCAGGCAGGACCTTGTTGTGAAGTGCCAAATGTATAAAATACTCCAATTTATCTGTGGACAAATCAATCTGGTAATTGATTATCTTACTGTTGGTTTATTTATAAACTGAAAAATAATTAACTTAAACTTATTATGGCTTATCCAAACATAAGATAGGTTATATCAACTAGATTATAAATTCTTTGAATATCGTGATTCTCGTTTCTGTTTTCCCTTCATCCCCTCTATTGCCCTCATGCTAAGCCCATGAAATGAGGCAGGCACTCAGTATTTCTTGTATTCATGTTTTTGTCATAGGGTTCGTGTGATCACCAGAGACAGAGAGAGGGTAAGTGAGAAATCATCCCCCACAGGGGCATGGCCACTCTGTGATCCCTTCTGCTCCATTTTCTCCCTGGGATTTTGGGCATGCATACACACGTGCCCAGCATGATTTTCAAGGCTTCAGGTCCAGGACTCAAACCACATTCTGGCATGTGGGAGTCCAGCACCTTAGCCACCTTGCCACCTGTTGCTCTGGCCCTCAATATTTGTATACTGCCCTTTGCTGTACCCTGAGATGACACTTACCTGCTTGCTTGATCCCCTAAAGATCCAATAAAAATGGCAAAGGCATTTACTTGAGGGTCACTTGTTAGGATTTGGGCAAATTTGGCAGGATGTATTCCATATCGTGACAGATTCGCATCACTCAAGACTATGACAAAGTACTCATCGGCTTCTTCTTTGACAATTTCCTTGATGGCATGTTCTGTCCCCTCTAATGTGTGGTCCCCACTCATGCAGAACTGAGCGTGGGCATGCATTGTCTGCAGGTAAAAGAAAATGCACAAAAACCATAAATGAGAAACTTCTTTTTTTAACAAACATAATTTTTTCTCTTGACCATGAGAATGCATAAATAAATATCAATGATCAGACATGAGTGACAAGTCTCTGGATAAGTTCTATTTAATTTGCACAAGGGAGTGACAACAGTACACAGTGATACATATGTATTTGGCACAGACCTTAATTAGAAACAGAAAACATGTTAAAGTGATCATGACTGGGATTTTAAAATTCAAGCTTCCATTTAAAGTGAATAAAATGTGAGAAAAGAGAAAATTCAATCTGTATTGATATAACACAGAAGAAAAAAATAAGGAATGGCTTAAGTTAACCTTAACAAAGTTGTAATACTAAACACCATATTCATAACAATAGCAGTAGAAGACATTTACTTTAAAATCATAGTGTGTACACACGTCTATTGTAGATCTAACCGTGTGAAATTTAATTTACCATTAGAAAATACTAAAAAATACATAAAATTAAAGTTAGAAAATCCTCTAAATGGGGTCATTTTTTTCCCTTTCTACTGGGTATGCAGGGTTAGAAAGAACTGTATAGGAGTCAGGTTGAAGAATCTCAATACAATACTGAGTACTTTAAAAATATTTAGGGAACAAAATTGAAATTTCATTATGTTAGAGAGAAGGATTTTAGGCATGATAGGTATCTTCTCAATTTAATGCTTGAACATTTGTGAGATAGAAAATCTCCCCTTCACCCTCCTTATCTGCTGCTGCTTCAGTGAATCTTATTAGTGGCATAAGATACTTTATGAAATCTGAGAGACGTTTTCACAGTATAGAGGTAATTGAATGTATATACCTTTAGAATTTCTAGTCTTTGCTTATTGTCCTTGGGGATTTTGTTCATTGGAACCAGGCTTATGTTGTAGCCATCTCCAGAGTGTCCAGCGATGTCATACTATATACAAGAGAATCAGGGTTAGAAACCTCTATCCATTAAAGAACTGTCACTGCATTTATAACTTTCCAACTGTTTGGACTGTTACATTCCAAAGTTGTTCAACATTCGGCCATACAGTAGTGTAAAGAGACAGATGTGTGTTTATCAGCGAAGGCAAATGAAGTCCAAACCTGTTCACTCCTCACCCATCTTCTGTGACCTCTACACTCTAGCAAAAAAGTATGATGTCAGCTTCAGGGGCTACCACAAATTCCATTCTTATCTTTCAGGAGAGACTTGAAAGTTTTACATACACCCTGTAATAGGCTGAATTCTTTTTTTTTTTTGGAGAGGTTTTTGCTATAGGGTGCGTGCGCTTGTCAGAAAGACATAGAGAGATAGAGAGACAGAAAGTGAGAAATTACCACCCCCCCCACCCCCCCGCAGGGGATGGCCATGTCACAATCCCTTCTCCTCCATTCTCCTCTCGGGATCTTGGGCACGCACGCACACAGACCTGGCGTGAGTTTAAGCCACTGGGTCCGGGACTCCAACCACAGTTGACTACATGGGAGTCCAGCGACATAGCCATTACGCCATCTGCTGGTCCCGTGATAGGCAGAATGAGGTTAAAATTTACAGGTAATCCAGCATGGCTGACATCCTGATTTCAGCCTTATAAGACCCTAGGCAGAGAACCCAGCTGAGCCTGCCTGGATTTATGAACTACAGTTGTTGTTGTTCATTTTATTTGTCTCACGAAAGTGAGAGAGAGTCAGGGCACCCCCGAGAGGACTGATCATGCCACAGTCTCTGACCTGGCCCGCCCTGTCAGGATCTTGTGTGTATGCGTGACTGGTGTGCTTCAAGTTCACTTGGGACCTGAACCTGTGGCTCCCAGTGGTGCAGCTCAGTATGCTACCACCCGTGCCATAGAGGCTGGGTCAATAAATGGGTATTGTTTGTAGCTATAATGTTTGTGGTTGTTATGCAGCCAATAGAAGCCTAATAGGTGTAGTTTCTTTCTGTTCAAAACAGTGAACTATGTTCACTGTAGAAGTTACAAAAAAGCACAAGAGAAAAAGTAAAAATTATCCATAATCCCATAAAAGGTAACCTCTGTTAAGTTTTGCTGTGTAAACTCCTAGGCCTTTCAATAATTTCAATATATGTGTAAGAAGTTGTACAGTCACAAACACATTCCATTCATTAATATAATTTTTAACTAAAAATGGATACTGTTGACCATGTGACTTTATAGTGTGCTTTTCTACTTAATGGTATATGATATACTTTCCAGTTAGGAAAGTATCTTTTTATCTCTCTATCTCACAAGATATATGAGAAGTCCTGTTTACTGAGAAAAAGCTAGAGAATTTGGAAAAAATTTGGGGGACTGAGGTAAACTATAATTAGGGCAAGGCAGTTCCCACCAATTGTTGAGTTTGCCCCCAAACTCCCTCCTTTCTCTTACCTCCCTCTAAAAATTTGTGTGATGCTGATATGAAGGTCAGAATAGGCCTTAGGGCATCTGGACAATTAGGGTGTCAGCAAAGAAAATCCTGAGTGTGGATCTGGGGCAAAAGAATTGAGAGAGTACTTAGAGTACCATGGGAACAAATGCTTAAGAATCACCAACAAGGCTGGCCCTGTAGCCTAATGGTTAAGGAAGCCAGATCCCACATTGCTGAATACAGTTCAAATCCCCACCCTGGCAGCTGGAAAAATATACCAGGAGCTTATATGTGCATGCCCCAAATCCCAAAAGGATGGAGAAAGGGAGGAGAAAGGATTGCAATATAGCCACGCCCCACTGGGGGTGCTTCTTCTCTCTCTCTGTGCCTCTCTGTCTCTCTTTGGTGAGAGCACATACCCTCTGGCAATTTAAAAAAAATCACTGGTATCCACCAACCAACCATCAACCCATAGCTGGCTTTTGAACACCTGCTGTGAGCAAAGCAGTATTCTAGGTTTTATATGGGAATGCAATTATTTCCTTTCATATTTGTTCCTTTTCAAATGATGCATTCTTTGATGGCATGGATTTTTATTCATCTTTGATTTTTTAAGAATCTATGATAGGATGCTTAGTACGTTTATTGCACAAATGCTGTAAGAGTATTTATGATCAAGTTGGGGCAATAAGAAGCCTTCCTTTTGCATGTGGGTTACATTCTTCCTCAAATAATCTGTTTAGAAGCTCAGATGCATTTTTCCTCCTCAGCAGTCATAGGATAATGGTGGTTAACCCAAGCTAGCTGACAAAAAACAGCGAACTATGTTCAAAACAACCTATAACATAACTGAAAATGTTCTATTTTAAAAGAAACAGAAAAACTCCTGATAAAATTGTTCTTATGTAATATCAGGAAGTCAGAAGGGGGTTATCTGGGAAGACAAGCTCCATTTCAGATGTGCTGAAACTGTGCACGGGAGGGGAGATAGGGCTGGAGGTGAAGACTCAGCAGCTGTCCCCAGGGGAGGGGCATAAATGGAGGCACACAAAGGATGTCTAAGTATTTAAAAGCTAAGAATCTGGCTCTACACTGTTAAATAAAATATCAGGGGTATTCAAAAGGTTTATGAAAAAACGTATTTTGAAAAAAATAAAGATCTGGATTTCAAAATTTTTTGCACCAAAATAAACTTATATTTTAATTCCTCTTTTCGTGGACTTTTAGACGTTCTCCTAAGTCCTGTTCTCCTACTTTGATAATATGCATTATGGTGACCTGGAAAGTCAGGAGCAAATGTTGAACATGTGGATGTCTTGAAGTTCTGTGCTAGAACATGGCAGGGTGAGTAGGACCAGCCTGGAGAAAAGGCTCCAGCAGGTTTAGACAGAAGAGTTGGGATCCTAGGTATCAGGAGCATGATCTAGAGACAAGCTCTAACTGGGCATGTCCCTTGGCTCCATCTACATTTCTCCTCATGAGGGTAGGGAGCATGGTCAGAGGAAGGCCGAAGTAGGGCCATTGGTAGGAGGCTTGGAGATTATTTTACGCCTGGTCTTAAGTTGTTTTTAAGATACAAATAATGATACAAAAGGATTGTGAGAGAAATTGATCAATGCATTAAAAAGGTTGACAAAAAAAATGCTGTCTATGGACTTAACATGTGAGATATATGAAAAACAATCTCCTAAGTATAGTTTGCTATCAAAAATAGAAACCTGGGAACCAACAGTTAGCAGAATGGCTATGCTGCTGGACTCTCACGTAGTCGACCGCGGTTTGCGTCCCGGACCTGGTGGCTTAAAATTCACACCAGGCGTGTGTGCGTGCATGCCCAAGATCCCAAGAGGAGAATGGAGAAGGGACTACGGCGTGACCATCCCCCCTGGGGGGTGATTTCTTGCTTTCTGTCTCTATGTGTCTCTCTGTCTGTCTGGCGAGCGCACGCGCCCT